ACCAAGAGGCACACACTGCGTTGGCGCGTTTTCGTTCATGTGCGCACGCTTCATGCACATGCATAGATAGTTCTGGCACTGTTTGTGAACAAAAAGTAAATCCGACCAAGCTAAGGCCCAAAGCAAGCAACCGCATAGCAAATCAAAGGCCGTCACCCGCCACTGCAAACCACAGCACACTAGGACTCTACCGGTTCATCATGTACCGGCCCCTGCTGCTGCTGTCCAGCCACTTCCTCAGTGCGTCACGGAACGGGAACGTGCCCAGGTCGAACAGGTCCTGGGTAAACATCCGCACACACAATGCTAGGTGCTCGTCCAGGCGGTTGCGGGTGGGGTCCTGCAAGTACCCCATGGCCGAGAACCGCCGCTCATCCTCCACCGACCCTGGCACCATCACTAACACCAGCTGGGCCAAAGCCGAATACTCCGTTAAGCCGCCGGCGAGGACCGCACAGTTGCTGATGGCCTGCCACACCCGTGCTGTGGGTGTGTCATCGAGCAGCACCCGGTGCTCACGCTTGGATGTGGGCGCATCTGGGTCCACTGCTGCCGCCTGCTGCCTCTGCCGCTCGGTCTGCTCTCGCGCCCGCCTGAGGCGCTGCTGCGCGGCGAGCTGATTCATGCTGGAGGCGAACAAGTTCGCCTGCTCATCCAGCAAGGCGCTGTCCAGCATCGGTGGCACCTTGCTGGAGTTGGCGCCCACCCGCTCACGGCAGTAGTAATCCTTGAGGATCTTCAGCTTCGCCTTGAAGTCGGCTGCCGTGGGCCTGTTCTCCCAGTATTCACTGTAGACAATCGACGCCGCCTCCAGCAGTGGATGTGGGGGAAACCGCGAAGACAGCTCACCTATCAGCTCCTCGACCGCGGCTGACATGTCTGCCTGCACCGACTTCACGACCTGGGCCAGGCGGTCCGGTGTCAAAGGCGGTGGTGTGCGGTCTCGGCCAGTGCGAGGAGGATCAGCGGTGAAGGGGTAGAAGCCGCTGCTGCCACACATCAGTCCGATCCCCTCCTCCCCCGGCGTGTCGGGATTGAACACCCAGGCGGTGCCCTTGATGTCTCCATCGACTGACAGCAGCTCCTTGAAGTCCCCAAACTCCACGGTGGTGTAGCGGGTCTCCGGCCTGAGGTACATCTCATGCAGCCGATCCTTGGTGCGCTGAAGCGCCTTGGCCAGCTCACCAATATACAGCCCACGGCTCTGGCAAAGCTTGATGAACAGGTCGCCCTCCACGTTCAGTGTATCCAGCACCAACTGCGTGATGTTCTCAGCGTCAGGTGCGCCCCGTACATGCGCCAACTGCGGGGATGCAGGGATACTTAAAGTGGACACAAGTTCAGAAGATAGGAACTTGTGAGGAATGATGTTACAACTTGTGGAGAACAAGACAAATGCGGCAAACCCCCAGTCCCGGCAGCCTGTCCACCCGTTAAAACTCACATCGATAAGGAGCGGCAACCGGCTCCACTGCGCATCCATGACGTACACGTGCAGGGAGAGGCGCGAATTCTTGTCGATGCCCACGCACTCGTCCATGCTCAGCGAAATGAATCGCGCGCTCCGCACAAGCTCCCGGACCTTGTCCATCAGTACCCCGTCAAGCGCCTCAGCGAGGTTCCAGGCTGAGAAGCCGCTCCAGTGTGAGCTGCTTATGTGTGGGACGGACAGCGCCTCGAACGCCTCCTTAGAAGCCATGAAGTCCGTGATGGGCCGCCCCCGGGTAAGCTGCCAGAAGAGCTGGATGGGCTGCTGGTGCTTGGCCTTCTCTGCCACCATGTTGCCCGGGGTGTAGAGCTGTGGCAGGGTCGCGTTCCGCTGCTGCTGGAGTGCCAGGTGCGCCTTCTGGCTCTGTTGATGCTCCACTGACGTCTTGTGCACTTCAGACGTCATGTGCTTGTCGAGGGTAGCTGCCCGGCACATGATCAGGTAGTCGCTCTTCTTCATCAACGTGCAGGGGATGCAGCGCACTTGGTCGTGCACTTCTCCGGCGTCCACGTCAGCATGCACAGGCTGGGCCCAGGGATACCTGGCGGCCCAGGCAATCTGCCATCTGTGGGGATTTTCCTTCTGCTTGTCCCGCCATGCACCGTCGCTCATGCCCTTGCGGATGCGCTGTGTCTGAGCCCGCTTGGCACTGCGAGCGCTCGGGTTGGGCGCCTCGCCGCATTCGTTGTTGTCAAGCTGATTGGGTGACAGCTTGCGCTTATGCTGATCACAACCGCCATGGAAGGCAGGGGTAATGGCGCCCGTGTCATTACCGACAACAGCACCGCCGTCCCAAACGCCTTTATCAGGAAAAATTTCAGACTTATCTTGCTGTTTTTGTGTTTGTTCGGCGTTCAAGTCGTTGCCTTTTGCGTGTTTGTCTATGGAAGGACCGGTCATACATTCTGCTATGCCGCGTTGACTCACGGGCTTGACCTTCTTACGGGCCCTCATATCTATTTTATGATCGATAATACTAAATTCTGCACACTACGGAGCAATCTGGCAGCAATGGACGTTTTTGGCTGAAGGAATGAAAATGTACGGATCGGCCTCACTTTGTTCCTTATTTCCAAAGGCCAAAAAGGCTATTTATTCCTAAAAAGTAATATATTACTTAAAAAAAAACAGCTCCCAGGAGGCCCTACTACTAGGCTAAAAGACTCGACCTCAACGAACCCCCCCCAACCCGCCCCCTTCCGGCCCGCTGGTCGTCCAGCCACCCCTCAAGGGGCGTCTGCCACCGGCCTGCCGCTGGACGTGCTCGAGGTGGGCGGGGAACTGTCAGCTACAAGCTGAAGCTCTACTGAGTGAAAGGCAGAATGCCTGTAACGAGAGAGCTGAGGCATGCTACATACAGTTGTACGACAGTCGCACAGAACCAGACTTTCATCGACAGCACCGCCGCCGTTTCCGGCTCAGTAGCCGTCGTATCACAGCACCGCAAATTAAATCATTTGACGGACAACAATGGGAGCAACGTCCCTGGTGTGCGTTTCTGGGACCGCTGGTACTGGCACCACTACCGCCGTCTCCGTACCTGATGCAACCTCACGGGTTGTGCTGCCTTCCGAACCCACCAGCTCGCCCCAGGGGCGGAAACGGCGGCGATGCTGACAATGGCGGCCTGACAAAGGAGGCGCTCATGGAGATGATGATGGGCAGCAGGGGCGGTGACGGTGGTAGCTATGACGGCGGTGGGGATGGCATTGGTGGGGATGACGGCGGGTACGATGACGGCGGGTACAATTATGGCGGTGATGATGGCGGCGATGACGATGACGGCGGCGGTGATGATGATGTCTTCTCCTGGTCTTGTGCCATCATCAGAGCCGGCACCGCCCCAAGGATTCATGATGTCCGCCGCACCATCGTCGCCTCCAA